AAATATAGACTTGAAGAAGAAAGCAGGCTATATAATCTAGCAAATATAAATTGATCCCAAGTTGAGTGATGCGAACAAAGTCACTCACAACAGTACAGCACCCAAAATTGATTAATTAGAATAAATTGATTATACGGCCTTCAACACATGCATACATAAATGATTTTTTTTAATGGTTATAAATAGTTCACTTTCCAACTACATTTAAAGCAAAGTTCCATGTAATGTTTCAGAGTGTTGTATTAACTAGGGTTTAAAGGTATTTTAAACACCCTCCTAAAACATCTGTATACATCCTTATTTTTTTTTTTTTCAACAGACAAGACAGAGATCTAATATGGCTTCAGGTATGTATCTCCCGGTCATACTTAAATATTATGGTTATAATGTTCCTTTCTTCTATTAAACTAATGCTTCTTGTTTTAAAATCATTTTATAACCTTACCTGCTCTATATGCTCTCATTAATAAAACATATTATTTTGAACATCTAGGTAATAGATGTACACTGTTTCCTATCACTTTTGTCACCCTTTAATGTTCTCATGTAGTTATATGATACAATTTATTTTTCCCACACCTCTTGCATGTTGGTGGCGAACTTTGGCCAAAATATCACTGTTATTTGTACTAAAAATAATCTTAATTACAGTAATTAATGAGTGGTGAACTGCTCCTGTTTTGCTAAATTTTAACACTTCCCCTTCTATTAAGCCCTTCCTTTCTATTTAGCCCCCCCAATGCGCCTTAAAACAATAAGCCCCTGGGGCTTAATAGAGGATTTACAGTACATGAAACAAGGAGACTAATATTTACACATATGTTTTTTTTTCAAATAACACAAGCTACCTTATGCAGTAATCCCATCCATGCCAAATTTATTACATTAATCTAAATATCTTTTTACCTCCTCCTACAGAAAAACAAGACATAACTTGCTTTGTGCATAATGTCTCACCAGTAAAAAAATCTGGACCAACAAGCTACTTTAACTGCCACCTTCAGACAGAGAAAGATCTCATTGGCAGTGTATGCTTTGCAACTGAAAAGAAGGAAACTCTTGATGCAATGGCCGCAAAAGATCACCGGTTAAAATTTCAAATTTTAACATCAGCAATAAGTATGGACGAAGTGATGTAGTAATAAACAGGAACACAACCATCACTTCAACAACAGCTGATTTTCCATACAAAGCACAAGATGATGTCACATCAATTGCATCCTTGTCAAAAGTAGCACCACAACAGCTAGTGTCAATAAAAGGAAAGATATCACATCTAAGTGCGACCAAAACTATAGTCATCCAAGATTCTCCTGTCAAAAAACAGGAAGGCTATATAGTTGATCCATCTGGTTACATAAAAGTTATTTTCTGGGGTGAGCATGTTGACAGCGTCACACCACAGTCCACCTATTTCTTCAACAACTTGAGAATGAAAGTATCTCAGAATCAAAGATACTTGAACACACCAAAACAAGATAATTTATACACCATCAAGGACGCTGAACCCTTCAAACAAACATTACCTGAAGTCAGTGACATCTCAACAACAACAGAAACCATTGGAGAAATACTAGGAATAAGCAGTGTCACCAAATACAACTGTTGTTGTTCATGTTCAAAAAAAGTTACAATCAAGGGAAAAATTGCAGTCTGCGATAACTGCAAAGTAACACAAAAGGCAACCAGCTGCAGTGTAAAGTGGACACTCAAGATCCATATCCAAAACTCCAAACAACCACTGCAGAAGCTTCAGCTACAGGTTTATCAAGAAGCAATGCCAAAGTTGTTTTCAATTTGTCACTTAATTGCAAATGAAACAACAGAGGAGGAAATCACAGAGGCTGTCTTAAACCTAGACACAGTTAAAGTATGCTTTGACACGCAAACACGAAAACTTGTGGACATTGAAAAAATTGCCATTTAACATGTTTTGTTGCATTTTCCCTTGTAACAAACCAATCTCTAGTAACTATTTAAGTTACTAATAATTCATGCTATGAGATACAAACACTAAAACTTTTAGATATCGCAAAAACTTTTATAGCACTTAATTTTTGAATTTCATATTAAACTTTCTTGAAACTATTCCATTTACTATTATTCATGTTACTGTTAGAAAAATTAGTCTCGCTCATTTAGTATCTGAACTACATTGTAAATGAGTAGATTCTCATGTTTTAATTATTGCATTTTACCTTGTGACTAATCGAGTTAGTATCATCCAGGGCCCAGTTGTTCAAAAGACGATTACTGCTAACCCACGATTAAAGCTTAATCAAAGATTTAATCTCTTTTGTTTAAAAGATTTCAAAAGCTAATTATAAGCTGCACATGAAGTCAAATCGAAAAATAAAACTAAAGAGCAAGAATCCTTAAGAAAATCTCTTTTGGTTATTAATTTAACTGGAATAAAAATTGACGCTAACCCTGAGTTTGCTTAATCGCGCTTTGAACAACCCGGCCCTGGTTACTGTTAAGATAAGAAAAATAGTTAAACAATGCTATGACACACAAACACGAAATATTTAGACATGGAAAAAAAATCTAAGTTTCATAGCATTTTGAACTTCATCACAGCTTCATGTTCCAGTTGTTGTTATAAAATTTAGTCTATCTCTTTCAGTTTTTCAAGATACTGAGTAGATTGACATGTTTTTTTACATTTTCTCTTGCAACTAACCAATCCCATGCAACTATTCAAGTTACTATTCATGTTACTATTAAAATTTTTTTGTTAAACTATGGTATGACATGCAAACACCAGAACTTTTAAACATTGCAAAAAGTTTCATAGCATTACCAACTTCATAACTTTCTTGAAACTATTCAATTTACTATTATTCATGTTACCGTTACAAAAATTAGTCTCACTCATTTAGTATCTGAACTACATTGTAAATGAGTAGATTGACATGTTTTAATTATTGCATTTTACCTTGTGACTAATCGAGTTAGTATCATCCAGGTTACTGTTAAGTTAAGAAAAATTGTTAAACAATGCTATGACACAGACACGAAACGTTTAGACATGGAAAAATCTAATTTTCATAGCATTTTGAACTTCATCATAGCCTCATGTTGTTGTTATAAAATCTACTCTATCATTTTCAGTTTTTCAAGATACTGAGTAGACTAACATGTTTTGTTACATTTTCCCTTGCAACTAACCAATCCCTTGTAACTATTCAAGTTACTATCATTCATGTTACTGTTACAAAAGTTAGTCTCCCACAATCAGTATCTAAACTACATTGTAACTAAGTAGATAAACATCTTTGGTTACATATTTGGGTTTCACTATTAAAGTTGCTATTGTTCATGTTGCTCTTTAAATACTTCGTCTTTCTCATTTAATCTCTCAACTAATTTCCTCCTCTGTTTTTGTATGATTTTAGCTAAATTCATTGAACTTCGAACGCACTTATTAATCTTTGATTACTACTAGTTGTAAAATTTTTGTGTATCGAGTATCCGAATTTTAATATGCCAAATAGCCATCAAGATAAGATCAGATAAAACCTAGAGGCAGCAATATTAATGCACTCGTTGTCTCTACTGTGTGCAGTCTAATGAGAAACTGTGAATCTGTAATAACTGAAGTAGTTATCGAATTGCATGTTAGTTAAAACCATAACCATAACTGCGGTTTTAGGAAATATTCACTGGCCTAACAGGACAATTAGCTACAATTCATTACTCGCCTTTGCAGCTGTATACGACAGTCGATCCTAAGACGTGGTTAAAATTAGGGAGCTGTAGATTTTCCTGCGAGGCTTTACTTACCCTATCTGGTTCATTCTCAGGGCTTTTCTGGAACTGAACATGTTTTACTCGGCGTCCGAGTGTTACACTCCCTTCTCACAGTTACTGAACTTCACCGTAAAAGCTCAGTTGATCATCACATCCCGTAGCTTTCGTTCTCACTGCCAATAACATTCTGAGTTACGGTGTGAAAATACTTTCGCAGTGCAATGAAATATTCAAATATTGTTTTTACATTTTCCACACGCTATAGTAGCGCCGTTTGTTTCAAACGGGAGAAATATAGCGATAATTAATTCATTTTAATTCGAGTTTATATTCTTGTAGTGTTTTAAGGTTCAATGTCTACCTCCCGTAGACTGCGATATTTTATGATAGTAATGATAATTTACGATGCCCAAGTATTAGCCAATGATGGCTTAATATTGCGGTGCAATTTTTATTTGAGCGCAGCATTATATTAATAAAGGTTATATTATAAGTGGCGCATTGCGGCCTGCTAGCACGCTCTTCTATTAGGGGGATACTGTAACTATGCGCGAGCGGCGGCGCTCGTTCTCTCGCCGCTCGCTTTGTTCGTCACTTTTTCTCTCAGGCTAATCTTTGCAAGTAGCGAGTACAGTCATGTTAATCAACCGTCTGAACTTGGTAACAAGCCTTACATTAAATCTAATTTCGCATCGAAAAATTGAACCAGATTGTATTAAATGACCTGGAGATTATTATAAGGAAAAACTTTGTCGCATCCTTACCGCAAGCTTTATTCTGTTGAGAACAAAATGAAAAAAAAGGTAGTAGAAGAAGAAAACAGTAGGGCAATAGGATGTAGACCAAAAAACGGCAAACCTCTTGTAGTGCAATAAGGAGGTATGAAATTCGTGTTGTGTTCTGCGGAAAACGAAGCACAGTAATTTTGAACTCAGCCACAGCAAAAATTCAGTCCTAGTAAAGTACCATTTTCATAGGCATGCACTGAAAAACTAATAAAAGGATCTGAAACCATGTCTATAAGGCAATAGTCCAAGTTTGATATATTGAAATTTTAACATGACTCCGAGGTTTTCTGCTCATTTTTCTATATTTGGTTTGGTTTTCTTTGTGCTCAAGTCTCTTCTGGAAATTGCGAGACAATGGAGTGGTGAAAAATTTTCAAGTTTGACCCTAAAGCCTCGGAGTCATAACAGAATTTTAATATATCGCTATTACAGCATACAGATGTAGAGTTTAAGGCAAACTTTGAGCTTGAGGAACTTCTTCAATAAAGATCCGGAACACAGACTGCCAGCTCGTGGAGGCATCACCAGCGACTCCATGTTGACAATTACCAACCTAGAATCCCACGCGCACCCTTCCTTTGTGAATGTTGTTACAATGCCCCTCAATACGGCGAACACGGTGAACATTGTGAGTGTTACGTTGCCACACTTACACAATACCGTTAATGGCAAAGGACACTCTGCGCCGTTGAAAGTGAAGTACCATCGTTTGCAACATGCAGTGGTTAGATTATAGTATGGAACCGGTTCCTGGCTAAAGTTTACAATCCTCCTCTGGATAAAAACTCTGGAAATACATAACACCTTTCTGTTACGTAATGCTGATGAAGTTGGAGTGATTCGAACGAAATTCAATTTGTTTGAATTTGTTGCTCTGAATTTTGGAAGGTCATTTGCTATAAAAAGCTTTTAATTTTGCTAATATCGTATGGAAGTTATCTATCACTAAACAATAAAGGATAATGTCAAATTCTTGTCAATCTACTGTGATTTAAACCGCCTCAATTCTGCACTATTTTGGTTTTCGCAGCAACATGAAATACGCGATGCTAAAAATGAGACAAGTTCATCGTTTCAAAACAAAGATAAACGACCGTTATGTACGTATCGACTGTATCGGATCAGAATGAATGGTCTTAAATTGCAGAAAAGTGGTCGTCCTTGCTATGGCCGGAAAGAAACTGGGTGAAAAGGACTGCAAATGCAGATAAACTGCAAATGCAGATAAACAGAGCAAAAAACAAATACGTACTGTCCTAAAAGATGTAAAACTGGCCGGGGGAATAATTTCAACTTTTACTACTCCTTGTCATTTGCTACCAATCTCAAAGTCAAGGTCCAATAAATCGTGCACCGAGTGCTTCTGTTTATGAGAGTGTAAAACAAAGCATTTGAGGCCAATTCCCTTTTTATGATCTAGTGTTCCATGTGATATTCACGTGATAAAACGAGGTGGGATTTTGATGCAGATACAATTTAACCTTACCTTTATCAGACCGTGATCCCTGTTATCATCTAAGTTTTTCCAAGCACGTTCTCTCCAGTTCCTGTTAGCCAGCATTCCACTTGATCCAGACTCCTCCTTCGGACCGGGGGCACCCTGCTCCCCTTTAACACCGTTTGCACCAGTAGGGCCAGGAGGACCCTGGGGTCCAGTATCTCCTGGCATTCCTGGGTCACCTTTCGCCCCGTCACGGCCATCCCGTCCATCACGGCCTGGTATCCCAGGTGTACCTGGTATGCTGGGCACTCCATTACAAAAGGATGCTGACTTCTTTAAAAAAAGGAAGCATGATACAGATATAGGAGCAAGAGAGGAGAAAGGGTACCTTTTCTTTTGACTTGAGGGAGAGCTCTTATCTTCTTTAAGGTGGCATCCTGGTTGTTTTTTTGGGGAAATGTTGTTGATTTGGAAAATAAATAAATTGGGGTAGAAAACATAAACCAGCTAGTCCGCTAATGGGCTCAGAGGAACCTTGTTGTGGTGGTTGAGTATCTGGTATTTGTTTAATCCAATATTTTCCAATTTCCCCAAATTTTTAACAGAACCTCCCTATTTTATATTTATTGAAACCATTCGAAAGAGAATCCAAATATTTTCAAAAAATAAGGGAAATAAAGACTCCAACTTAATGAAGTCTTTTTTTTTATTGAATAAAATCTTGGCTAGATATTTAAGAAAAATGGCGCACTAAACGAAAAACAATACTTTTAACTAGAAATGCTTTTAATTGTCCCGTTCAAAGTTTGTTTGTAAGCAAGGCTTTGGAACTGGTGCAGTTAAAATATAGTGCATATTGTTTAAAAGTTTCAAATTAAAATGAAAAATACTTTTGATATATGAACCCTTTGCATGAGTATTTACAATTGAAATCAAAATAATGATAACTCGGGAGTTTGGTCGAAATAATCTGAGTTTGTAAAGTTTACGACTCATGTGAACAGACACTCGATAGTTTCAATAAATTTTATATATTCAATCACGGTTGGTTGAACGAGTCATCTATTATGATGACGCCTACAAATCAGCACATTAGCAACGGGAGACAATTTTCATGTGACAAATTGTGTTACAATCTCCTTTCCAGGGTATCTCTACTCCTTCATACGCGTCAGAAAGGACTCTTAACAGTAGTCATGGTGAAAATGCAAGACTATCCAAAATTGCTAATAGGAGCACATCGAATTTCTTTCTGGTTATATTTGTCCAGTTATAGTGGTTTTCCATTGTAATGGACACCGTGTACGTAAATTTCTAGTCAGTTAACTATTCTGGGTTGCATTTTAGGATACAAAAGAGAGAAAATATTCTTAGCGAAGGTTAAAAAGGTCTATGAGAGCCACTGCATCTTAAGTTCTTGTCATTCATTGCATTCCAGGTAATCATGAACGTATCAGTATGGTGTATTAACTCGAAAGAGCATCGCACTCAAATAGGTTCTTGGACCCGTTTTTCGAAAGTCCCGATAATTACTGGCCCCGAAAAACTGTTTTATTTATCGGTCAAGATATAGGTTTCAACAGTCTCTCAGATAACTATCAGTTTACAAAACATTTGGACTGGTTTGTCTGCTAGGACCTGCGCTTTTTAATTTAGATTGATTTCCATATTTGGCTTTGGATCTGTAACGTTTCCCAGACTTCGAGAAACGGATCCCTCGGCCTCGTTCCCAGGTTCTCTCTCCTTGGAAACGAGGATGCGGATCCCTAAGTTGAGGAATACTGTCGCTATCATAATTTCATGCAATACAAAAAGGACCATAAGAGAATCAAGTGGCAGTAGGGCTAATAGACTTTCTGCAACCTTTGGAGAAAAGATTCTCTCTTTTGTATCTTAAAATTCAACCCGACGTATCAACTGAGGACGCTTTTAAAGGTTCCATTCAAAAACTGTAACAAGGGTCAACCATATGCATATTTTTACTTTTTTTTATATGCAACAACAACAAGGCAAAATTACGATTGTGAATAGATAACTTTTCGTTGAACTTCTCACATCAGCATTCATTCTACACAGTTCTACGTTCTCTTATGTATGACTTCTTTCAATTGTTAAAAGAGAATTCAACAAGTGGTAATTTGAAGGATTGAAAACGCGAAGGACTTTTAACCAGCGGAAGACCTCTAATCGGAGCAGAGGGGATCAAAACAAACACAAACACGCACTTTGCAAAGCATCCTGCGATTTTTAATGTTATCATGCCATTACCATTACAATAATCGACCTCCTTTTAATCTGTAGAACTGGCTGGAAGCGATATTGTTTATCTTAGCAGAATGGATGTTTTGTCTCGGCATTTAGGCCTGAGCTTTAGGAACTTCTTCAATGAAGATCCGGGACACAGAGTACCAACCAGTGTAGGCATCACCAGCGCCTCCATGTTGACAATTACCAACCCAAAATCCCACGCGCACCTTTCCTTTGTGAATGTTGTTACAATGTCCCTCAATATGGCGAACGCGGTGCAGATCTTGAGTGCTGCCCTGCCACATGTACACAATACCGTCGATGGGTAGAGGAGCTGAGCATTCTGCGCCGTTGAAAGTGAAGTACCAGCGTTTGCAACAGCGTGTACAACTGTAGATTCTAAGGGCACCAGTCCAGGCCACACGAAGAGCTGTGTCAGAAAAGTTCTTAGTGAAGACACAGTCCTAAATTTGGGGAAAATGAAAGCAGATCATTTGGTCATAAATAGGAGGTGAGATAAAAGTAGAAATGACGATGGCATTGAAAACCCAATAAAATGGATTTAAATCTTGAATATTTACCTTTACTAATCCGTTGTCTTTGCCATCGTTTAATTTATTCCATGCGCACTCTTTCCAGTTCTTAAAAGGCATCAGACCTGGGTTCCCAGGATGTCCACTTTGTCCACTCTCTCCTTTTGGACCTGGTGGGCCCTGTACACCAGGCTCTCCTTTGGCACCATCTTTTCCATTTACACCAGCAGGTCCCCGAGGCCCAGTCTTTCCCGGGCTTCCTGGGTCACCTTTCGGTCCTTCTCGGCCACACGTCCGTCACGGCCTGGTAACCCGTGCATGCCTGGAATACCACCAAACCCGCAGAATGGGGGAGATTGCTAGAAAGAAAAACAAAAAGTTACTTTGAAAAGTGTCATTGTGCGTTGAGCAAAATAACTCCCTCAGTGATTTAGTCTCATCGGCGATGCTTAGCCACCTCTAGGGAAAAAAAAAGAAAAAGAAAGAAAAGTACTGTGCCTTCTTTATGACACACTTTAAACAATTTAACCACCTTCCTTTCCCCCACTAGCCTTTCAGAAAATAAACCCCTGAAAAAGTTTTGACGAATATTTCATAATAATGTCTGCAAACAACCTTAAAATATTTTTTCCCCTTAGTTTCCTGTTTCCCAACTCTATTTGGCTCGTTGTGTTAAGTGTTGTGGAGAAACTTTACATTAAAGCATCGTTAGATATACGGTCAAGACATAAAATTTAATCGAGAAACGAAGTTACTTGATGTTGATGGATTTAAGAAGTTCCCTAAACCTCTTTCTAAATGATTTTTGCTGATAAGGAGCGAGACTTTGGTAAAGTCATGAAAGATGCGATCCATTGTTTGGACATTCCTTCACGTCGACCGAGACTAGATAAATACTCACAGAAAAGTACTTTTTAGCAGTTATTGGATTGCGCAAAGTTCTGTTCTTGAAGTTTTTTGGCTATCATTTGTTCCAGTTATGTCAGGCATGGTCCCGCGCAGAAAGTTAATTGACTCACCATATTGCTCGAAGTTTGTTTGGTTTTGTTGCCCGCCACTGCTGTCAAGACCAAGAACGACGGAACAGCAAATAAACACAACAGAGCTAGAGAAACTTTACACGCTGTACTCATCGTGTGGGTGTTTTAGGGGTTTTTCTAAAAACGAAGTTGGAAAATAAAGTCAGAAATAAAATCAATTAAATGGTCAAACAAATCCTACCACTAGTTTTCTTAAAGTGTCGTGTTTAAAGTTTGCCTGAAAAAGACCCTCATAAAAACTAAATCTAGCTGAATCCTTAACCTTTACTAAAACTCGCACTTTTCAATTTATCGTGAACTTACTCTCAGGGGAAGCCAACGACGGTTTCCTCTTAAACACATTGAAAACACTTTTTAGGCTATAATCCAGAGTACTTTTAGATAGCTAGAAATGCATCTCTAACCGGAGCTATAAAATGATCTAAAATGTATCTATTCGGTCATCCTAGAGGAACTTGAACTGTTTTGAAAGTACAAGGGCCTCAGGTTATTTTACCGAAAATTTTAGATGTAATTTAACGTATTACCAAACTGGTGAGAATTTTACTAATTCCTTTCTTCGTCACATTTTTGAATCTGAAAATTTTAAGTTTCCTTTTATCTGCGAAAAATAGCCCAACCCGAGGAGTGAAATGTGAAAAATTAAACTATTAATAGAAAATCGCAGGGGATTTATGAGATAGGCTTCGAAAATTGTACATGGTACAGTCATCTAGAAATTTTTATTTTTAGCCGTCCTAAAGTAATAGGAAATTATAGGCAATATTTGCTTCTCCGAACAGATATTTTACAGAAAACAGTCGCCTTCTTACTCAGTCACACCTATTTCTGTGCCCCTCGTCGCTTTTAAGAAAACGTACCCAAGGATGTATATATTTTCAAACTTTACTACGTTTGAGAAACAGATTTTGAAAGACTCTCCGATCAACTAAAAAAAATTGTAACTCCTCTTATTTTTTAAGTTACAGTCCAGTTTGCGAATTCATTGCGAGTAAAGTGAGATTTTCCAGTCCGTTTGGGTACTCGCATTGCATGAAAATCCTCAAAACAATTCCCGATCACTATGAATCGTTAGGAAGCGCAAATTACCGATACGAAGCGAAAAAAACCAGACTCAAAGGACTTGAAAAAAGCTGGAAAATTTGTTACCTGTGAACTCTTTTCTGCTCGAGTTGGTCGTCGTAAGTAACATAGGCCACGTTAGTTTAACAACAGCTTTTTCTTCCTTTCTGTTGATTCTTCGTTCGTGTTTTAACAAGTTTTTGTTTACTATAAATTGATTATTACTGTTGGGCTGATTGATAATGAAGATTAAATATTGACTGAAAATTTCTTCATCCAAAAACTATCTAGTACTGTTAGGATTTTTAACTTCCTGTGTTTAGTTTTTGTTCCGAGTTCAGCATGAAGTTAGACTAAATCATACGCCGACGAAGATTTTACAGCAGATTTTTTTTTGTAATGAATTCACTTCTTAACAACTCCATGCGTATGGGAACATGAAATACATAGGTACAAATTTTATTAGGTATTTTTGACTATGCTAAAGGTCCTTCTGACTGGAATACAGCCACTTCTAAAGTTTTCGTCACTAAATAATCACAAATGTAAGTTTATTGAAATTGATAGCAGTGTTAGTAAGAACATCCACAACACGAGGGGAAGTGGACAGAACTTAATTTTCCCTAAAATGAAATCTAACACCGCGAGAAAGGCTTTCAACCTTCATTTAATAGATCGAAACCTTTCGACAAGATTCTAAACAAAATTTATTAGTATAACTCAGTCGTGATTTTTTAAAAACCGTATTTTGGAATTCTATTGACAAATACATAATTTAGTATTTGGCAACGTTAATACAGTGCTTGTTAATTTCAGTGCTTGATGAGATAGAAAAAACGAGGTTTTCCTGATTTAATTTCTATCGTTCTGGAAGACAGTTTTAAACTTTCAATTTGTTGAGTAATGCCTTCGTTTGGAAATTACACATTAAATATGATCAATTGAGTCAACGCACACGATCTTTACAATAAAACAGTCTTTACAATAAAATAATGATATCAACCCGACTTGGTTACGAAAGGCAAGGGATTTTCAATTTTTCTTTAAAACTACTCTAAAAGATATTTTTGTGGGGTTGAGTTCTCACTAAATAGTAAGCCTGTTGTCATTGTTTGAACAGACTACGAAGGGGGGTACTCCCTTATTTGGCCTCATTGTGTCTCTGAAGAGGATATGATTTTCAAAGTCTTGAGTCTTTACAGGGTATACAATTTCACTTTTTATAATAAGCGTCTTGAACAAGGGGTCGATCTTTTTGGACCGGGAATGGGAAGGTTGGCGATGAGTGGTCTACTTTTGTGGTACTTACAATTATTTTTTTCTAAATAAACCTTATTCTTTGATGTTTGGTTAGAAAAGGACATACGTTAAGTCAGTTGTCTTAAGCATAATTATAAAATAAGTTGTATATTAAGTATTTAAGGTTGTATTTAATTGCCTTCTCACCTCTCATGACGTAAACTGTCGCTCTCTATTAGCTCGCTTGTTTGCTCAACATGTTCTCGTTTAATTTACTTATTTAGTGGAGCCATTGTCTTCCATTTGATATCATGCATGGTTGACGGTACTGATTATTGTCATGTTCAAGTTTACATCGCGAACTTCTCTATTGACTTTATCAGTATAGAACCCTTGAATAAACTCGAAAACATTCCTTTGTAATAATAAAACGCGAGACTGAAATGTGGAAAAGGGAAGAGCTTTACAGGCATTTCTAATACAATACATTGCTTCAAAATAAATATTTTTCTGCGGCAAAATTTGCGATGGAAAGACTTGCTAAAAGCGCTCTATTCTTACCGCAGTCTACAATGTGGAACCTTATATTATAACTAGCTATTTTCGTAAAATGAAATTATAACAACTTCTACTCGTAAATTTGCTTCCGCTATAATGTTAGAAGAAGCTAAAATTCGAGTGTGCGTTCGAGAAGTAGTCAAAGTTTTTGGTTTGTGACAAACAAAACTACTGGGATAAGAAACTAAGCAATAAGCGCCTGTGGCACGTAACCGTTTTGGCTATAAATGGATACATATTCTTTTAAAATTAAAAGCATTTTAATGTTTTATTTTAGGTTTGTTAGTATTTTTGTTTCATTCATTCTTTTTTCAGTCAGTCTTGCTGGCGGGATCCTTCCTGACGATCGCAGTTGAAATTGGATTATACTATAATTGCTTTGCGGCTTTTTAATTACTGTTAAGAACTGTTGCCGATAAAATAGAAGAAAAGTGATAAATTCGGTTTATTGTAAAATTTTTGTGTATCGAGTATCCGAATTTTAATATGCCAAATAGCCATCAAGGTGATAAGATCAGATAAAACCTAGGCAGCAATTAATGCATTCGTTGTCTCTCCTGTGTGCAGTCTAATGAGAAACTGTGAATCTGTAATAACAGAAGTAGTTATCGAATGGCATGTTAGTTAAAACCATAACCACAACTGCGCTTTTAGGAAATATACACTGAACTCACAGCACAATTAGCCACAATTCATCACTCGCCATTACAGCTGTATACGACAGTTGATCCTAAGACGTGGTTAAAACATAGTTATTAATAGTTAAAATTAGGAAGCTGTAGATTTTCTTTGGAGGCTTTACTTACCCTATTTAATTTGGTTCATTCTCCACGCTTTTCTGGAACTGAACAAGTGTTACTCGGCGTCCGAGTGTTACATTCCCTTCTCATAGTTACTCGGTGAACTTCACCGTAAAAGCTCAGTCGATCATCATCGTTCTCACTGCCAATAACACTCTGAGAGAGTTTCGGTGTTAAAATGCTTTCGCAGTGCTATGAAATCTTCAAATATTGTTTTTGGATTTTTCAAACGCTATAGTCAAAGCGCCGTTTGTTTCAAACGGGAGAAATATAGCGATAATTTATTCATTTTAATTCGAGTTTATATTCTTGTAGTGTTTTGTGGTCAAATGTTCACCTTTCGTATACTGCGATATTGTATGATAGTGATGATAATTTACGATGCCTAATTATTAGTCAATGATGGCGTAATGCTGCGGTGTGATTTTTAATTGAGCGCAGCATTATATTAATATAGGTTATAAGCCGCGCATTATAGCCTCTTGGTAGTGTGATAGCAAGCTCTTGAACCCTTAGGTTATTGTAAAAAGCATACACGAGCGGCGGCGCTTGTTCTCTCGTATTTTCTCGCCGCTCGCTTCGTTCGCCACTCTTTCTCTCAGGCTAATCTTTGCAAGTAGCGAGTGAGGTCATGTTAATCAACGGTTTGAACTTGGTAACAAGAAGTATATTAAGTATAAATTTGCTTTGAAAGGTGAAGAAGATTGTTTCAAATGACCAGGAGATTATTATAAGGAAAAAGTTTGACACATCGTTACCTCACGGACCTTGCTTTATTCTGTAGAGAGCAGAAAGAAAAAAAAAAAAAAAAAAAAAACTAGCAGAAGGAGAACACTAGTGCAATAGGATGTGGGCCAAAAAACGCCGGCAAATCCTCTTGTTGCTGCGGAGCGACCGAAGGGAGCGAGCAGCAACATAACCAGGATTTAAAGGAAATATATTAGGGGCGACGAATTCTCGAATTCATCACTTTTTACCACAATGCATTGCATTTAACCACACTTTTTACCACAATGCATTGCATTTAACCAGAGTGCATTGCGCCACGAACAACTCAAATAAAACACGGGGAAGTTCGGTGGGTGAGAGAGTGCATCGTTCGCTGCTCAGACTTAGAGGTTTCTTTGTGGCAAATTTTCTACAGCACGGTTAGAGGTCTTACCAAATTTTAAGACACACCGGAGTCTTTCAGATGAGTACGATGGTTAACTGGGGGATTGGATTTCAATTCAATAGCCTTTTTTGACTCAAGAGCCTTTTTTGCTCTTCGACTCCGTAACACGGGGGATATACAAATTCCAGCTTGCTAGAAGGTGATGTGAAAGTGAGAAAATGTCATGCAATGCTATTCTTAAGAAACTGTATGAGCCGAAAATAGATGTGATTTTGACCATTCGCTTCAAAATAACAGCGGAAATAGAGATAACAAAACATATGTTTTCTGTCCTACTTTGCAGACGAGGACGTGTATGGGCGATTTGAAAAGCATAATTATGTCCTTTCATTCATTTATTGCCATGGAATATGCGTTTACATTGTTTTTTCACTGTTAATAGCTCGGTTAATGCGGCTGGCGATCAGCTTGCCGGCGGAAGTTTCATGGAAAAGGAATAAAATGAAAGACTTTTCCTACACATTACGTAATCTTTCTCTGTGGTGTAGTGGTTAAGTGTAGTCGCGTCGAGTCGAAAGTGCCGGGTTCGAATCTTATTGAGTTATTGTTTCCTTCTTTCTTTTTTTTCCCGTTTGTTGTGTTGTTGTTTTCTATAAATATATAGCTAAATAACTGTTACTTATTAAAGTGCAACAAACAGCAAGAAAAGTATTGTGTTTCCAGAGAAAATATCGTCCACCGTATATTAGATATATGGATAAACGATCTGAATTTCTGTTATTTCCTACAATTTACTGTGGGAAAACCAGAGTTGATAACCACTTGATCATTTTCTAAACAACGTTCCCACGAGTTCTTTCTATAGACTGATAGTAATTATTCTAGTACTTTCCAACATGTAAATAGGACATTCAATGTCATTTTTGATTCTTTTAAGTCTCACTGCCTAACTAATGCCAGTATCAACAGAATGTGCCGCAGCATTACTATCTTTTAGATACCCTTTGTAACACAGTAAGGAGGCATGAAACTCATGTTGCATTTTGCGGAAAACGAAGCATAGTAATTTTGAACTCAGCCACAGAAAAAATTCAGTCCTAGTAATGAATCCCTAATTTTATTTGATATCGTCAATTTTGAAGTCTAACAGAAAGACAAAATAGTAAAAAGTACCATTTTCCCAGGCATACACGGGAAAACTAAAAAGGATCTGAAATGCTATAAGGCAATGATTATAGCGTACATGCAGATGTGGAGTTTAAGGCAAACTCTGAGCTTTAGGAACTTCTTCAATGAAGATACGGGACACAGACTGTTAGCTTGGGGGAGCAAGGATGGCGCAGTGGTGAGAGCACTCGCCTCCCACCAACGTGGCTCGGGTTCAAATCACGGCGTCGACGCCAAAAGTGGGTTGAGTTTGTTGTTGGTTCTCTCCCTTGCTCCAAGAGGGTTTTCTCCGGGTACTCCGGTTTTCCCCTCTCCTCAAAAACCAACATTTCCGAATTCCAATTCGACCAGGAATCAGGTAGATGAAGAACCACTATTTGGATGTTCTACCTGCAAATCGTTATTTTATTTTATTTAGCCCGTGGAGGCCGGTTAGCATTAGATCCCACCGGCCTTAGCCCCTTTCTTCCCTTATGATAGACCGGTAGAACTGTTTTCTGCTTTTATATCACACTTTTATTACCACACTAGCAAACAAGTGACAATTTTCATGTGCCAAATTGTGTTACAATCTCCTTTCCAGGGTATATCTTCTCCTTCATACGCGTCAGAAAGGACTCTTAACAGTAGTCATGGTCAAAATGCAACACTAGACGAAGAAGCACTATGTGGATGTGCTACCTGCAAATCGTTATTTTATTTTATTTTATCTAGCCCGTGGAGGCCGGTTAGCATTAGATCTCACCGGCCATAGCCCCTTTCTTCCCTTATGAAATTTACACAAGGTAGAACTGTTTGCTGCTTTTATATCACACTTAGATGATATTTCAAGTTGGAAATGTTCATGAAAGTGCAAGTCAATTTGAAAGAAAAAAATTGATATGAAAGACAGTAGGATTCGAACCCACGACCCAGAAGACCCAGTACAAGTATACTACTCTAACCAGTAAGACCACAGAGGTTTTGAAGTGTCCGAAGGGGCTACGGTCGATGGGATCTAATGATAACCATGGAGACATCACCAGCGACTCCATGTTGACAATTACTAACCCAGAATCCCACGCGCACCCTTCCTTTGTAAATGTTTTTACAATGCTCCTTTATATAGCAAACGCGGTGAATATCCTTAGTGTTGCCACATGTACACAATAGCGTCAATTGCTAAGGGAGCTGAACACTCTGCGCCGTTGAAAATGAAATACCACCGTTTGCAACAAGATGTACACTTACAGACTTAAAAGGCACCGGTCCAGGAAACACGAGAGCAGAGTCAGAAATGTTTTTATAGAGCAACGACAACAATAGAAATATATCTATTTATGCGAGTAATTATGTATGTATCAATTGTATCGGATGAGAATGAAATGGTCTTAAATTGCAGAGAGGTGGACGTCGTTGCAATGGCAAAGAAACTAGGAGAATTGATTCTCAGCAAACTGCAAATGCTGATAAACAGGAGAAACAACAAATAGGTGCTGTTCCAACAAAAAGAAAAAATTTGGCCGAGAGAATAATTTTTAACCTTGTGGTTTATTTCCAACATATCTCAAAGTTACAGTCCGAATCGTGCACCGAATGCTTCTGTTTTTGAGAGTGTAAAACAAAGCATTTGACGCCAATTCCTGTTTTGTGGTCTAGTGTTCCATGAGATATTAAAGTGCTAAAACGAAGTGGGATTTGAATGCAGATACAATAATAAACCTTATCTTTATCAGACCGTAATCCCTGTTATCATCTGAGTTTTTCCAAGCTCACTCTCTCCAGTTCCTGGTAGCCAGCATTCCACTTGATCCTGACTCCCCTTCGGACCGGGGATACCTTGCTCCCCTTTGGCAACGTTTGCACCAGCTGGGCAAGGAGGACGCTGTGGTCCAGTATTTCCTGGCATTCCTTGGTCACCTTTAGTCCCGTCTCGCCCCGATATCCAAGGTGTACCTGGCATGCCATGCACTAGTTACAGAGGGATGTTGACTTCTTTAAAAAAGGAAGCATGATACAGATATAAGAGCAAGAGAGCAGAAAGGGTCCCCTTTCCGTTTTGACTTGAAGGAAAACTTTGAGCTTCTTTAAGGTGGCATCCCGGTTGAAGTTTTTGGGGAAATGATGTTGATTTGGAAAATAATTAAATTAGGGTAGAAAACACATAAAGCAGTTAGTCCGCTAATGGGCTCAGAGGCACCCTTAGCTTGTTGTGGTCGTGGACTATTGGTATTGGTCTACTAATTATTCACTTCTTAATTTAATTGTTAAAAACCACGAAATCCAATATTTTCCAGTTTTCCAAAATTTTTGAACAGTACCACCTAATTTTTATTTATTAAAAACATTCGAAAGATCATCCATATATTCTAAAAAAATTAGTGAACAGATTCCAACTTATAGAGTCCTTTTTTTTGATTGAATGAAAATGGGCCCAAAAAAACGAAAAACAACGCTCTTAATTAGAATGTCCTTAAGTCTCCAAAGTCAAAAAACGTCCACGGCAATATGAATAAAAACGAATTAATAAGCAGCAATAAATAATCTAAAATGCATGAAAACCGCTAAGCACATTGTCATTTCTCCCATGATTTTCATAGTTCAATATATGGATGAATCAGAATAAAAACCAAACACACTCCATTTGGCGATGATGATGTCTCTCTTATTGAGCTTAACCCAAGTCCCAATCCACATACAAATTCTCCCGACTGATTCCCATACTTTTCCCTAGAAAATAAGCTGAAGGATTTTGCTAAAAAAAAAACAAAGCAATTTTCTTTTGGTGAAAATCTTTATAAATTCTCGTGACTTTTTTTCTTGATGATGTATTGATATTTTTGGTAGAAAATTGATGGGAAATAGGTTTTTTTTTTTCGGTTTGTGTCTTACGCGGCTCAGAAGAAAAATCTGGGCGAGAGGTAGGCTGCTCTATGCCTGCCATTCCCTTCACAGCACTAAATAGTGACCATATTATGGTTACTTATTTTCACGGCACATGATTTTTGCAATTTTTGGTCCAGAGTCTGAAAGACTCGGCCACACAGTCCCATACAGCAGATACCAAGGGAGTATCCCTTGGGCCTGCAATCAAAATAAGAGGTCACTTTATCTGTTGTGAAGACCCGGCATAGTTATGTGAAGAACTTGTTTAGAATTTCCATTACCCACAATGCGACAAACGAAAAACGGTTTTGAAAGCAGTGTTTAGAATTTTCTTTTAAAGTAAGGCTCATAGCTGGTCAAATACAAGTCTAACCTGTTGCTCTTGCTGATGGGTGTTTCAACGAGTAATAACAGCCATTATCGCCCCCCAGTTTTAGACCAACCAACCAATTTAAAGGAGATGCACAGAATATTACCCTTCATTTTGCCACAGAAACAGTAGTACTGCGCCAATGGATGGTTCACAAAGGCCGTGACGGGATCTAACAGCTAAGTATGAGAAATATCCTTTTTTTCCTTTCAGCTGACGACATTTTTAAAGTTCTATTAAAAATATTCGAAGAAGAAAATCCCTTTTACGATTTTGTCATATGCAACAGCAACAGGGAGAATTTAGGAAATTGCACATAAACAAACTTTTAAACCCTGTTATATCAAGACACGTTTTAAATTTGTTAAATTCTTATGGATTTGTTTTTTATGGAATTTCTTCTCTATAAATACGGAAAACAGAAAGAAGTAAGAAACAATGGCCATAGGCTGTAATTGCAAGCTATCCCGTAATTTCGTCGAAAAGTAGCATGTAATGGGAGATCAGCACAAACACAACATTTGAAAGCATCCTGCATTTTTAATCAACTATGTTTACACCATTACTTGTACTATCACAATCCAGTTGCAAGTAATCTATAGAACTGCACCCTCGATTTAAAAGCTGACAAGTGTTTTTCTTTGCAGGAAGGAATGCTTTACCTCGGTATCTAGGCCTGAGCCTTAGGAACTTCTTCAATGAAGATCCGGGACACAGACTGCCAGCCTGTGTAGGCGTCACCAGGTGAGTGACTCGGACAATGACCGACCCAAAATCCAACGCGCACCCTTCCTTTGTGGATGTTGTTGCAGTGCCCCTCAATATGGCGAACGCGGTGAAGATCTTGAGCATTACCTTGCCACATGTACACCACACCGTCAATGGGTAAAGGAGCTGAACACTCTGCGCCGTTGAAAGTGAAGTACCAACGTTTGCAACAGGCTGTACACCTGTATATTCTAAGGGCACCAGTCAAGGCCACATGAAGAGCGGTGTCAGAAAAGTTCTTGGTGAAGACACATTCCTATAAAATATGAAGGAAATAAACTTTGAATAGACAAATCATTAGGTTATAAAACTAAACTTTGCCATGTAATATTAAATATCATTTGTAAATCTTTTAACCTTTACCTTTATTAAACCATTGTCTTTGTTATCGTTCAATTTACCATGCGCACTCTTTCCAGTTCTTAAAAGGCATCAGACCTAGGTTCCCAGGAGGTTTACTTTGTCCACGCTCCCCTTTTGGACCAGGTGGGCCCTGTACACCAGGCTCTCCTTTGACACCTTCTTTCCCATTTACACCAGCAGGTCCCTGGGGCCCAGTCTTTCCCGGGCTTCCCGGGTCACCTTTCGCTCCTTCTCGGCCATCACGTCCGTCACGGTCTGGTAACCCGTGCATGCCTGGAATACCACCAAACCCGCAGAATGGAGGAGATTGCTAGACAAAATAACTCCCTCAGTGTTTTAGTCTCATCGGCGATGCTTAGCCACCTCTAGGGAAAAAAAAAGGAAAAAGAAAGAAAAGTACTGTGCGTTTATGACACACTTTAAACCATTTTTATCCACCTTCCTTTCCCCTACTAGCCTTTCAGAAAATAAACCCCTAAAACGTTCTGACGAATATTTCATAATGTCAGCAAATAACCTTAAAATATTTTACCCCTTCGTTTCCTGTTTCCCAACTCTGTTTGGCTCGTTGTGTTAAGTGTTGTGGAGAAAATTCACATTAACGCATCGTTAGATATACGGTCAAGACATACAATTTAATGGAGACACGAAGTTAGCTGATGTTAATGGATTTAAGAGGTTCCCTAAAACCTCTTTCTAAATTATTTGTGCTGATAAATAGCGAGACTTTGTTAAAGTCATGGAAACCATTCTATTTTTTAAAGGAATCTATCCCATATCCGGGTTTAGTATTAGTTGTCGTCATTTATTATGAATTATTACTAACAGGTTTTTCTAAATTATCGGAATTGAAATTGAAACAGTTACACATTTATCTCTGAGCTTTCCAACCTTATCACGATTTTCACGATTTTTGAAAGATGCGATCCATTGTTTAGACATTCCTTTACGTCGGCCGAGAGATAAATACTCACAGAAAAGTATACTCTGTAGCTGTTATTGGACTGCGCAAAATGCAAAGTTCTGTTCTTGAAGTTTTTTCGCTATCATTTGTTCCATTTGTATCAGGCATGGTCCCGTGCAGAAAGTTAATTGACTCACCATATGGCTCGAGGTTTGTTTGGTTTTGTTGCCCGCCACAGCTGTCAAGACCAAGAATGACGCAACAGCAAATAAACACAACAGAGCCAGAGAAACTTTACACGCTGTACTCATCGTGTCTTTTTTTAAGGGTTTTTCTAAAGACGAAGTTGGAAAATAAAGTCAGAAATAAAATCAATTAAATGGTCAAACAAATCCTACCACTATTTTTCTTTAAATGTCGTGTTTAAAGTTTGCCGGAAGAAGACACTCATAAAAACTAAATGTAGCTGAATCCTGAACCTTCATTAAAACTCGCAGTTTTCAATTTATCGAGAACTTACTCTCAGGGGCAGCCAGCGACGGTTTCCTCTTAAATTCATTGGAAACACTTTTTAGGCTTAAATCCAGAGTACTTTTAGATAGCTAGAAATGCATTTCTACCCGGAGCTATAAAATGATCTAAAATGTATCTATCCGGTCATCCCAGGAGAACTTGAGCTTTTTCGAAAATACAAGGACCTCAGTTTATTTTACTTAAAATTTTAGATATAATTTAACGTATTACCAAAGTGAGAATTTTACTAATTCCTTTCTTCATCACATTTTTGAATCCGAAAATTTTAGGTTTCCTGTTTTCTACCAAAAATAGCCCAACCTGAGGAGTGAAATATGAAAAATTTAACTGTTAATTAGAAAGTCGCAAGGGATTTATCACATAAGCTTCGAAAATTGTACATGAATGGTACAGTCGTCTAGAAATTGTTAGTTTTAGCCTTCCTAAAGTAAAAGGAAATTATAGGCAATATTTGCCTCTCAGAACAGATATTTGATAGAAAACGGTCGTCTTCTTACTCAGTCACACCTATTTCTGTGCCCCTCGTCGCTTTTAAGAAAACGCACCCTAGGATATATATATTTTCAAAGTTCACTATGTTCGTGAAACAGATTTTGAAAGACTCTCCGATGAACTTAAAAAATTGCATCTCCTCTTATTTTTTATGCTACAGTCCAGTTCGCGAATTCGTTGCCATTAAAGTGAGATTATCGAGTCTGTTTGGGTACTTGCATTGCTCGAAAAGTCTCAAAACAATATTGCCGATCACTATGCATCGTTAGGAAGCGTAAATTTCCGATAGAAAGCGAAAAAAACCAGACTCGTAGGACTTGAAAAAAGCTGGAAAATTTGGTACCTGTGCATGGACTCTTCTCTGCTCGAGTTGATCGTCGTAAGTAACATAGGCCACGTCAGTTTAACAACAGCTTTTTCTTCCTTTCTGTTGATTCTTTGTTCGTGTTTTAACAAGTTTTTGTTTACTATTAATTGATTTTTATTGTCGGAATGATTGATAATAAACACTAAATATTGGCTGAAAATTTAGTAGTCTAATCTAGTTTAATCTAGTACTGTTAGGATTTCTAACTTGCTGTATTTAGTTTTTGTTCCGAGTTCAGCATTAAGTTAGATTAAATCATACGCCGACGAAGATTTTTCATCATTGGTGACGCGTGACATGGATGATGCGAACGTACCATTGAAATACTTTAAGAGATCCCTACCAATGTTTTTTTGTAACGAATTCACTGCTTAACAAAACAACTCCATACATGAATTACATATAGGTACAAATTTTATTAGGTATTTTTGACTATGCTGAAGGTCCTTCTGACTGGAATACAGCCACTTCTAAAGTTCTCGTCACTAAAAAAATCACAAATCTAAGTTTATTGAAATTGATAGCATTGTTAGTAAGAAAATCCACAACACGAGGGGAAGTGGACAGAACTTAATGCTACCTAAAGTGAGATTTAACACTGCCAGAAAGGCTTTTTACCTTCATTTAATAGATCGAAACCTTTTGACAATATTCTAAACAAAATTAATTAGTACAACTCAGTCGTGATTTTTTTAAAAACCGTGTTTTGGAATTCTTTTGACAAATACACAATTTAGTAGTTGCAAACGTTAATACAACCATCTAACATTTTTCAGTGCTTGATGAGATATGGTTTTCCTGATTTATTTTCTATCGTGCTGGAAGACAGTTTTAATGCTTTCGTTTGGAAATTACACATTTAATATACTCAATTGAGTCAACGCACACAAAGTCTTCAAGGGAACCTCCACTTCAACAAAAAGATAACTTTAAATCACAGGAAATAACTGTTACAGTCAAGTCAATGTAAAATATTTTTAAAGAAAGCGTTTGTATCCGAAAGAAATAACTTTTAGATTCGCCTATTTTTGTTTTCAAATTTTGCGGGTGTCGCCATCTTGAATAATTGTGACGTGTAATGGTTGCCCTATTGTTATTAAACAAAAGCTCTTTGTGTCAGAACAATAGAGCAACCGTAACACGTCACAATTATTCAAGATGGCGGCGCCCGCGAAATTTGAAAGTGAAAATAAGCGAATTTAAAATTCACTTTTCCTGATATAAACACCTTTTTTAAGACAAATTTCGAACAAATTTGTTTATCAACATAATTTTATTCGATTTAAACTTATTCTGTAGTAAGAGTGGAGGTTCCCTTTCACAATAAAATAATGATATCAACCCGACTTGGTTACAAAAGGCAAGGGAATTTCAATTTTCCCTTAAAACGACTCTAAAAGATATTTTTGTGGGGTTGAGTTCTTACTAAATAGTAAGCCTGTAATCATTGTTTGAACAGACTACCAAGGGGGGTACTCCCTTATTTGGCCTCATTGTGTCTCTGAAGAGGATATGATTTTCAAAGTCTTGAGTCTTTACAGGGTATACAATTTCACTTTTTATAATAAGCGTCTTGAACAAGGGGTCGATCTTATTGGACCGGGAATGGGAAGGTTGGCGATGAGTGGTCTACTTTTGTGGTACTTACAATTATTTTTTCGAAATAAACCTTATTCTTTGATGTTTGGTTAGAAAAGGACATACGTTAAGTCAGTTGTCTTAAGCATAATTATAAAATAAGTTGTATATTAAGTATTTAAAGTTGTATTTAATTGCCTTATCACCTCTCACGACTTAAACTGTCGCTCTCTATTAGCTCTCTTGTTTGCTCAACATGTTCTCGTTTAATTTACTTATTTAGTGGAGCTATAGTCTTCCATTTGATATCATGCATGGTTGACGGTACTGATTATTGTCATGTTTTTACATCGCGAACTTCTCTATTGACTTTATCAGTATAGAACCCTTGAATAAACTCGAAAACATTCCTTTGTAATAATAAAACGCGAGACTGAAATTTGGAAAAGGGAAGAGCTTTACAGGCATTTCTAATACAATACATTGCTTCAAAATAAATATTTTTCTGCGGCAAAATTTGCGATGGAAAGACTTGCTAAAAGCGCTCCATTCTTACCGCAGTCTACAATGTGAAACCTTATAACTAGCTATTTTCGTAAAATGAAATTATAACAACTTCTTCTCGTAAATTTGCTTTTGCTATAATGTTAGAAGAAGCTAAAATTCGAGTGTGCGTTCGAGAAGTAGTCAAAGTTTTTGGTTTGTGACAAACAAAACTACTGCGACAAGAAACTAAGCAATAAGCGCCTGTGGCACGTAACCGTTTTGGTTATAAATATATACATATTCTTTTAAAATTAAAAGCATTTTAATGTTTTATTTTAGGTTTGTTAGTATTTTCGTTTCATTCATTCTTTTTTCAGTCAGTCTTGCTGGCGGGATCCTTCCTGACGATCGCAGTTGAAATTGGATTATACTATAATTGCTTTGCGGCTTTTTAATTACTGTTAAAAACTGTTGCCGATAAAATAGAATAAAACCTAGATAAAACCTAGGCAGCAATTAATGCATTCGTTGTCTCTACTGTGTGCAGTCTAATGAGAAACTGTGAATCTGTAATAACTGAAGTAGTTATCGAATGGCATGTTAGTTAAAACCATAACCACAACTGCGCTTTTAGGAAATATACATGCACTGAACTCACAGCACAATTAGCCACAATTTATCACTCGCCATTACAGCTGTATACGACAGTTGATCCTAAGACGTGGTTAAAATTAGGGAGCTGTAGATTTCCTTTGAAGGCTTTACTTACCCTATTTAATTTGGTTCATTCTCCACGCTTTTCTGGAACTGAACAAGTGTTACTCGGCGTCCGAGTGTTACATTCCCTTCTCATAGTTACTCAGTGAACTTCACCGTAAAAGCTCAGTCGATCATCATCGTTCTCACTGCC